AGCAACAAATTAATTTTTCTGGATTTTATGCTTGTGTTGTCAGGTTTTGACCTTTGTAGTGTATTGAGGTTTACTTACTATATTGAGGGTTTTTTTTAAAACTTGTTTTAAAAAGTTATTGAAATACCTAAGATTGTATTCATTAATTTCTATTTTTTTAGGAAGAGATCCCTATATTACATAAACTACAGGACCCTAAAGCTGGGTTTATCTATCTATGCTACCTACACAGAGATATACTTTAAAATCAGAGCAACTCGGACCTTAATATGAGAAAGTAATAAAATGAGAAAACTTTATGAGAGCATGGGACTGTGATGAGCAAACAGACAGCCTGATATGCCTGAGGCATGTGTATACTGACCATTTTAGCTGTTGATGCTCTCCTTCTTTGAAATAAAAAGATTGAAGGATGCTGTTCCAAAACTGGGAAATAGCTCTCTTCCCTCAATACTCATGGCAGTTTATTTTCTGTTAAATTGGGTATATATGAGAAAATGCAAAAACTGCTTTTGCATTTGCTTGCCAAACTCAAGATAAAAGTATATAATTCAGAATGATGTCCAGAAGCAGGGCAGCTCTTAGCCTGGAAGGCTGTCCTTGTGCCTTTGGCAATACAGGGTTTAATTACCCCCACTCTTTCCACAATTATCTCCCTTATACATGTTATCGAGACAAACAATCACCAGCAAACAGAGAGAGACACACACACATATTCGCACTCAGACACACACACTCCACAAGGATTTCTACAGATCTTTTCTTCCTTTTTTGTTATTATGTGTGATGTACATACCTGCTTTGAATGTGTTCATGTGTAGGTGCAGGTGTGTGTGTGTGTGTTTGTGTGTGTGTGTTTGTGTGTGTGTGTGTGTGTGTGTGTGTGTGGTGTCTGGGTGTGACTGTATATGCTATAGAAAGACTAGGGTTCAATGTTACATCATGCTTCCTTTATTTTTGAACTCTCATTGGACATGAATCTCACTGATTTATCTAGCCATTTACCCTGAGAGTCCCAGTGGTCTTTCATGCCCACCTGCCATCAGTGGGGTTAAAGAAAGGTGCCATTGTGCCCAGTTTCTACATAGATGCTGCTGATCAAACTTCAGTCCTCATGCTTGGAAGGCAAAGCTTTCCTGTTTCTCCAGGCCTAGTCATTGTTTCTGTTTGAGACAGTCTTACCTTATAGCCCAGGTTACACTCAAGAGTGCAGCAATCCCATGTCTGCATCCTGAGTGTTGAGATTACATCATGAGCCACCATTTAGAGCTCTCTCCAATTTTTCCAAACTCCAAATCACAGCTAGCTTCATTTCTAGAAACACACTGGTCACAGTACAGTGAAGCCACAGTTCTGAAAGATTAGGAATCCCAATTCACCTATTAAAATGCAAATGCTTTGGACTGTGCCAAGATTTCTTGTCCTTATCTTAAAGGGGTTTCTTTAAGAGGAGGCTGTTACCATGTTATTGGTTCTGTAAGTAAACATAAAATATCCACAGCTCACATCACATTTGGCCAATTGGTGACTGCAAAATGGGAATTTCTGTCTGGAACCACACCTGGCAATGACCTCTGGCTCCTGTCTTATCTCTGCAGACCTGCAGAGATGCAGGAACTGTTTCTCTAGAGTAAGGATAGGACTCCTAAGTGTTTCCACAGTCTAATGATACAGCCACTGTTAGCTCAGAGTGCCAGTGTTATGGCTATAAAACATCAGGTGCTGGAAATACATTTGGAGACTATTCCCTATTCAAATTTTGTTTAGAGGGAAACGTTCACCTAATTCTCTTTTCTCTAACAGCAACATCTCCATCCAAAACACCCATCATATCAGTAACAGAAACTGTTAGTAGATGCAGTATTGGCCATGCTCTCTGCTAAGCACTTAACTGTATTAACTCATTTAACACTTGCAAACACCCTTAAGGCACCACTACTACCTGCATTTTATAAGTGAGGCATCAGGAACATGAGGCAATTTGGTATCTTGAGATAGCCACATAGCAAATAAAGGGTTTGAGCTGAGAATCAAGCTTAAGAGTCTATTCACATCCGAGATTTCCAATATCTTTGAAATATGTACAGGTAATCATTTTTTAAAAGTAAACAACCTAACATAATATTTAGGTATTTTAAGAACCTTTATCCAACACAGCATTGCTTGTGCATCTTCCCCAGCATATTTATAACATAGTTCTCCCTGACCAGAGTGTTTTGTGCATAGTCACTTCACATCTCCATCAACAGGGAGACAGGAAAGTTAGTCTGAATTCCTTTGGGTCACTTGGCTAAAAATGACGTTCATAGACAAAGTTTGTGAACACAATTAAAATACCACCATGGCAACTATTGATAAATTCATGGTTATGAATTGATAAACCATGTCATGGAGTGAAGAAAGGAATGTGTAAACATGAAATGGATAAATTAGATTGATGATTTCCTCTCTGTAAGTGATGGGCTCTGGCAAATCTAAGGAGTTTTTAAGTAGGTTTGACAAATCCTCAGGTATTCAATCTCAATGTGTTGATTACATAGACACTTCTTTCTGTCTGGTTATGTATGTACACTCTCCTGCCAAACTGTCTGAGTTCTAACCCTATGTATTTATTTGGCAAATGTAAGTCCTTCAACAAACTGCCTAACCTCTCTATGATGTAATTTCCTTATTATCAACCACATAGAATTGTAGGAGGGACCAAACTGATAAGATGTGTTGCATACTTAGTCTTATCCTTGATCACGAGAGAGACTGTGATATTTATGAGATACATATACCATGAGGAGACAGGTATACTGTCTTTTCAGCAGTTCATATCCAATATTATATGGTCCTTGGTTTTATTAAACATATAGAGCAAGCTAGCACACTGGCCTTTCTGTTTCCTGATTTTTGGAAGGAAGCAGGCAGTGAATAGGCTAAGTTTGATGCTGCTCTTTCAGATATGCTATAAGACAATAAAGTTCTGGTTAAAAACTTCTCACTCTGAATCTAGCTTCAAGGACACCTTGCAGAACAAAAATCCCATCGTTTATGCATGGCCATTAGAGTTTTATGTCTCTGCTTCACAAAGTGAAATATAGATTAAGTCATCTGGGAACTGGTAACAGGTTTAAATCTGGGCATGAGGTGCTATTATGTATTAATCACATATGTTCTCAAATTCAAAATCTTGCAGTAAGAAGTGAGATTCTATATACTGTACTGATTTTGTCAAGCACACTTTCATCCCGTTTTTGACTCTACCATCTAACTATTAAAAACCTTCAAGGCATAGAAGGGCTCCTTGGATTATTTGGTATCCTGAGCCCATTGATCCCTTTCAGAACAATATTTTCAAATGCTTACTCACAATAATAATAACTACAAATGAAACCAATTAATTTAGAATATAATTTCCATGTATTAAAATTTTTCCTGTGCCTCAAAACATATATTCTTAATGAAGATACTAAATACAAGAAATGAACAACTACACCATCCAGACATTGGATATAAAATAAATTTGGAGGATATTTTGCAAATAAGAATAAAATGTATTCAAACTACATTAGGCACGGTAAGCGAAGCTCTTGTTTAATCTTGGTGGTTTTCTTTTATTTCTTCTGAGCTTTTTTTTTTTAATTTTCATTTGCTCATTTTAGAAATATCCTCTTGGAATGTGTATGGTTCATTCTTTCTGATGCTTATATTGCTAGTTGTTTACTTTCCTACGGTCAAAAAATACTATAATTTGTTCTTAAGTTTTAGTGAACTTCCTTGGTTGCCCCTAATGTTTTTCTGCTGTTTGTTGCTGTATCTAAAGCACCTCCTTCCTCTCATTGTTGGGCACTTAAGTGTAAGCTTTATATGGTGAAGCAAGTAAAAGTGATCTCACTAACAAACCTCTTCAGACTAGGCAAGCACCTCTCAGGGAGCTCACTTCTGCTCCCACGGAAGTAGGAGCTGTTTGGACAGCTTCAGGGAAAGCCCTTGTAGAAACTGTTTGAGTCACAGTAAAGTAAGAGCAGTTTTATTGCAAGACCCCTATCCTAGGAGAGAACCCCCAAATCCCTCAATAAATTCTCATCAATATGTGAAGTACAATCTGTCTCTCTCAAGGTCTATGAATTTAAACATTACCCTCCCAGTACCTCAAGCCAAAGCCTTCCTCCAATCCTCCTTGGTTTCTCTCCAAATAAAACTTCCTTCCTGTTCTTACTCTTTTCTCATGACAACAGAGAACTAGGATTGCTCAAAGTTCAGTGCCATGAGACACCAATTATTGAGGAAAGTATTTTATATAGGTTTCCTATTGCCTTAACCCAGCCCCACAAAATATTTCTATTATAATTATTTAACAAATAATATTAATAAAGGGAAGGTTATATATTTATTAAACATTTTTCAAATGCTAGAAGCTGTGCAATGTGTTTTACGCGCAAGATTTCTTACTAAATCTTATAATGATGCCATTGTCTAGATATCACTCTTCCTAGTTTATAAGTAGAACCCAACTATTTAGTTATTGGGAGTATTTGAGTTCTGCTCTGTAAATACCAACAACAAGCGGTTTTCAAAAATGTAGAAGTCAAAGATGACAGGAAGTTGGGAAGGAACATGGAAAGGAACTCTGGAATTAGTTTCAGGATATGTGTACAGATATGATCAAATAATTTAAAAATTTTTAAATAAAAAAAGGAAGTGAAAGAAAACCCCACGGGCTGCTCGATTAAAGCTCTTTCTCTGAAGCATACCATGGTGTCATGTTCTTGAACCATACATACTATCAGACGATATCCCCTTATTCCATGGAAAGCTGTGGCACAACTTCATGTTTAATTCAGCAGACTTCAATTGTCTTGGAGGAAGACCACAACATGACACATGGTGTCCCACGCACTTCACCTGTGAGATGTGCTTAAGCACATGGCTCTCACCTATTCCAGAACATTGGCAAATAGAAAACATTTGCATATGCAAATACAACATAGGTATTCATTTCTGTCATCATCTCTATGATCACTGGCCGTATCAGATCTTAATTCAACCTGAAAGAAACCAGTGAATTAGAGCGGTTCTGATGAGGAGGGGAGCTGTTAGTGTGCAAGGAGAAACCTTGTTCGTGTTCAATGATCATAAAATTTAAAGTTGGCCAAAGCTAGGATAGAGCGAAAATTAAGATGTCTCAATGCCGTACGAGAGGGTTCGTATCTATCTCACTTGTTATGAACCACATCAGGGCCCAGTAAAGGAAGAGCCTCTGGGACTATCTCCAAAGAACCAATCAGATAGTAGATCACAGGGAATCAGATGGAGACTCTCAGACTAAGCAAATGAACAAGATGCTAAGGAGGAGAGGATCAGTAACTGAGAGGAACCTCTAAGCAGTTCACCCATTGTTCTCCATGGCCTGGTGTGTTCTTAAACAGAACATAATAATGGCTGTGAGACTGATTTCAGGGTTACATGTTTAAATCCCAAATTTTCTATTCAATAGATGGCATTATAACATAGATTACTTAACCTTCCTAAGATCTATTTTCCCAACAATAAAATGCAGATTGTAATAAAATCTAATTTATTTAGATAGTACTATCTAACTCGTAAGATTTTTTTTGTGACTAGTATCAGTTATATTTACACAGTGCCTGGCACCTATCAAGGGATTCAATTAGTACTTACTTTATTCTGCAGTCCCCTATACCCCATGCTTCTAAGATGCAAACCAAATACTTGTGCATTGAATGGCACCATAAGGAAGCCTGTGGCTCTGCTGAGACCCATGGTCCTCAGCCACCAGATTCTAGGTGTGCTGCTGAAGGTGCGATGGGAGCAAATGGGTGACTATAAAATTGCCCAATTTGGCACAACGCTGTTATTATCTCTGGAAAAAGCCAAGCCCAGGCAAAGCTGATGAGTGAACCAGATATGATGCAGAAAACATTTCCTTCTCCTTTTTGGTTTCAAGCCTATTTTTGAAACCGTATAGCTCCCCGGCACAGTTAGCACCTGAAGGCACAAAAGCAATGGCTACTGGCACTGGAGGATCTGCCCAGCTGTGGTTACCAGTGTTGTTTTTCTGTAAGTATAAATTTACATTAATTCCCACCCCAAGGGGCCAAAATGCATCTAGAGAGCATCAGAGTTGGAAACATTTGGTTTGGTTTGGTTTTGGTGACTTTGTAGCACATATGCAAACCTTGGGGGCATTTCTGGGCACTGTGCAGTAGAGAGGAGCAAAGGTAACTGGGCTGAGCATCACCTCAGGGGGAAACCAGGCTAATGCTTGGGTCTTTTCAGTCCTCTGCATCTATTACAATACAGATAACAATAGAGGAGGATGGAGGAAAGAACGCCCTTCCTTCTCCCCACTGATCATTAAAACTTTATGAATGTGGGTCTCATTCCCACACCCATCCCAGTCTTCTTGCATCCTGGAAAACTGGAGGTAGTAGATGCTAACTTACCCTTTATTAATTTTGCAGCTCTGGCCATCACACTAACGGGTGAGTTATTTGTCCTTATTCCCTTGGTGTATCTGGACATTGCTCTCTTCTGCTGTTTGTCTGTATCCATCGTGTTTTCTCCTAGCTCTAAATTTTCTTCTTCCCAGAAAGTCTGCTTTGCAGATCTCCCTCTTCCCTGTAATTTATTACCCACCCCAGAGTTTCCCATATACTGTTTTCCCCTCTCAAGCCACCTCCTCTTCTGCTTAAGTCAACAGTCATGTCTGTTCTGATGTTAATCTCTCTTCTAGGCCTTTCAATGCACTCATCCGACTTTCATATTACTATCATTATTGATTTTTATAATTGAGAATCCTGTAGCTCAGATTACAACATCACTTACTGGGGCTTGCACAACCGATAAAAACTGGGTGCTATCGTAAGTCCCTCGGGTCTGATTATAATGTTTCTTGACTATATCACCCTTTGTCATCACCACGAGCAGTTTTTTAGTTTCTGTTTAAATTTTCACCACATCTCCTTGCTCCTGGAAGCCATCCAAGGTTGACACCCTCTTGGTGCTTTTCATGAGCCTTGAAAATTACAAACATTTCTCACTATATATATTCACAATTAAATAGTTTAAAAAATTTAGAACTCATCTTTTACCAAACCTATTTTATATTTTAATTTTAATTAATGCAATTTACTTACCTTGTGTACTAAAGTATACCAGTACTTGGTCTAGTCTGAAATGATTGACAGCTGCTCCTGATATGTTTTAATGAACTGAGGCTTTAATATTTATCCTTTATTTTTACATTCTGTTATTCAATAATTATTTAGTAAACACTAACTATGTATCAACCATTATGATAAGCAATGATTGGGAGAGTCAAGCATAATCTCCACTTAAAAAGCCTACAATTTACATTTATGAATACCAATTTTGAAGTTCAGAGAATTAGAGTAGGGTATGACATTAAATAATAAAATACTTCACTTGTTTCCAAACTTCTGTGTTTGAACCCTTACTTATGCCTGGACTGGTTGCTTTCTGAGACCACATCACTGTTTATTTCATCCTTTATTGCCTTTCCTAGACGACACCAAGACTAAGCCTTGTTACCAATAAGATAGACCATTGTTTGACTGTTGACATGTTTATACTTTTGAGACTGACTAATTTTCAACAAATTCAAATTTCTTTATCTTCATAATTTTACTTTCTTTAAGCCACTCAGAAATCTGTTGTGTCCTTGACCCCACCATGGATTAGAATATTTACAGGAGATAACGTGACTCTTACGTGCAATGCGAACAGTTCCCTTCAAGACAACAATACTAAATGGTTCCACAATGGCACCATTTCTAAAGTGACAACTTCACATTGGGACATCGTGAGTGCCACCATTCAAGACAGTGGAAAATACATATGTCAGAACCAAGGACTTTACAAGAGTAAACCCGTGTACTTGGAAGTGACGAGAGGTATGTTCTAGAAATGTGAGAATACTGTCTGTCTTTCACGAAGGAGCCACAAGAACTGTCTGCAGCCTTCCTAACCCTGCAGCCCTTTAATATAGTTCCTTGTGTTGTAAATTCTAGCCATAAAACATTGCTACTGTTATGAATAATAATATAAGTTTCTGTGTTTTCCAATGGTCTTGGGCAGTCATTGTGAAAGGGTCATCTGACCCCCAGAGGGGTCGTGACCCACAGGTTAAGAACCACTGCACTAGAAGCTGGTAGGAATGTAGGTTATTCCAAGAGATTTGGGGCTTCTCCCTCAAGACATCTAGGTGACTTTTCTTCTGCACCACTCCTTACATCCTCTCTTTTAATGGTCTATTCAGTCATCAATATTATTCCTCTGATCTGATTTTTTTCTATGTTACCTAGATGTAGACATGTATTCTGTGATCAAATGGTGTGATAGGCATATGAACACTGCAAAAAGCTGTGTATATATACTTGGATCATAATATTTGAGTAACAATTTGCTCTGAACAATCTGAGGGTCATGAAAGATATCTCTACATGTTCCTCATGTCCTTTACTGTTACTAAAAAATAATTCTATTTTTTATTTTGATACAATGAATATTGTTTATTTATTACTTTAACTGCCAAAATTTAATACAACATATCTAGCTATCAGTACATGTTTAATGAGAAAACTGTCTTTCAAATGCAAAAGTTACACATTACATTTTTCTTGAGTAGAAAAATGTTTTAACATCTGTAAACCCATTCTAAATACAAACTAAACCACACAGAATAGTCATTTACTTCCTGGTACTAGACTTTAGAGAAGTCCTCAAAGCATTTTTCTTAAATACAATATGCTTGCACAAGTTAGATATGTTCTCACCCAAAACTCTCCATTTATGAATGTTTTACAATTCTTAAAAATGATTTTAGCCATAGAATACAGTTCTTTGAACTTGCTGAGTCATTATAGACAAATAATCACTGACTATCTACAAACTCCTAAACACTGATACAGTCCTATATCTTTATACTCAGATCTATATAGGGAAGAAGATGGTAAATAAAAACTAAACAAATAGTTAAGATTTATATTTGTCTTTTAAGGAAGTATTTAGGCCAACTATAATTAACAACAGAACGGAAAAGCCTCTGTGAAGAAAGAATGGACCAAAAATAATTCTCATAATTCTCATAAGTTCAAGCATTTTTGGAGGAGTATTCTGTGTGTTCCCTCTTAACTAGATCCATCTAGAAGAATCTGAAGGGAATTCTGGTCTTTGGGATTTCCACAGTGGGCTCAGCAGATTATAAGACATTTTATGGCTTCTGACTGACTTTTCTGAGGGAAAAGGGATTCATTGGCATAGATTTCAAGTTATAAACAAAATTTTGTCTTTATTCTTTAATTGATAATATGAAACAAGAAACGGGTCAATTGACCCCTCCCATCTCTCTGTGGCTCTATCTGCTCCTCTCTCCCTGCCTTCCCCCCTCAGGGCACTTATCCATTGTTAAGTAAATAACAGTAACACATGACTGCTCTTCAGATTGGCTGCTCCTTCAGACCTCTGCTGAGATGGTAATAGACAATGAGTCCTTTGACATCCGATGCCATGGCTGGAGGAACGGGACTGTCCAGAAGGTCATCTACTATAGGAATGACCATGCTTTCAAGTACAGTTATGAGAACCCCAAAATCACCATTAGAAATGCCAACCTTAACGACAGTGGCTCCTATCACTGCACGGGCTATCTTAAGCGGCTGAACTACACATCCGAGAAATTCAAAATCACCGTAATAAGATGTAAGTTGACAAACAACAAGATAATACATAGTAGAGAAAGAGAAAGTGGACGTACAAGCCCAATGTTTAAAGTTAGTGCGTCTGTAATTGTCTGAAATGGCCAATAGACTTGCAACAAGGAGATCCAGGACCTATCTCCACAGCAGAGGCCTCATTTGCTAAGTGTTGATGGTAACACTATGCCCAAAACAAATTTTTATAAAGAATAATGAGATAGTTTTGTCAAATGGCTTTAAAAACTGTAAAGGACTGTCCAGACATAAAATAATATAATTAGCATTTAAAAATCATCAATTGCTTCTATGAAGAATGTTTGTATGTATCAAATTGGAAGTGGTTTGGGAAGTTTAAGGAAGCAAGCGTACAAAAAGTTTGGCAAGTCCATTTTAGCTGAGGATGGTGCTGAAGGAAATCAACTCTGCTGCAAGCTGCGTGTGCAGGTCCTGCAGGAGGCGAGTGAACCCACTGAGGCCAGGCAGGTGGGGCCTCTATGGCTCATAAGAAAAGCCTTTCTTCCAAAACGTCATGTAAGAGGGGAACTTTGAAATGCTTACCTTTGAAGAAGGAAATTTTTGCTTTATCTTGGCATGCTCATAGCTATCTATTAAAAAAAAAAAAAAAAAAAGCAAGTTGGCCAAACTTAGAATTATGCTCTGATGTTTAATTATCCTTGGCTCCATGCTGATTTCTTTTGTACTCCCAAATCATCAGCTCATGGCATCATGTTTCATGATTTTCAGTGACTAGAAGAACAGATAGACAGGGGTTACTGGGAAACATTTATTCCATCAGACTAAGGGTGGAAAATCATGTTTGTGTCCCTCTTAAGGAAGCTGGATCTCAGAACCGCACCCCCCCCCCCCGCCTTTCAGTTTCTAATCTGAATTGTGTAATTGTTGTATCTATGTTCCATTCTAGTTTACAAAAACAAGCATCATTGGCTACAGTTTATTATCCAGTTGCTGGTGGTGATTCTGTTTGCTGTGGACACGGGGTTATTGTTTTCAACTCAAGAACAGTTCAATCTAGCCTTGAAGATTCAGAAGACAAGAAAACGCAACAAACCTTAAAGCTTAATGCCTAACCTAGGCACATAAAGGAACTGATGCCATTGCTGGAATTTTTAACAGTGATTTTCCATAGCTTCTCAACTGTCAAAGGTCATTCCCAGTATCCATGGAAAAGTCTGTGCCCCAGGATTTGCATAAATGCTTCATTAAACTGTCTGCAGCTGGTTCAATGTCATGTAATAGCAAATGTTCAATAAACACCGGTTAATAATTTAAAGAATGAGTTGATTCCCTTATTTGTATTTGTTAAAGGGAAGCACAGTTTGAATAAAGCAAGTGTGGAGTCGTGTGGCATGGTAACCTTAGAGATTCTGGACTTCTTCAATTGTTTGCTTACTTCTAGAAGAAAGACCCATGAGGGCACAAATTTATAATAACCTTTCCTGGTCATTGTAAGAAGGAGGTAGCAAGAAGACATAGTAGGACACTGGTGAGGTTGGCAATGTTTCATACTCTGCTTTCCACTGCTAGGAGATTTTGATTCTTGATAAAAATTGAAATGACCAAAAAACATGGGAAGTTCACACCAGGATTCCTATGTAATCAATTTAGCCTTGTCAGATAAACCAATCTTATAGTTGCAACTTGTATCATATCCTCATAGAGGAGCAAGGCAATGGCTTTTGAGTAAATGATAATCATGGCTTATAGTCCAGGGCAGAGGTTCTCAACCTGTGGATCATGACCTCTTTGGGTCAATTTGTAGCAATGAAAATATATCCTGCATATCAGATACTTGCACTATGATCTACAACATAGCAAAATTACAGTTATTAAAAAGCAATGAAAATAATTTTATGGTTGGGGTCATTGCAACAAGAGGAACTGTATTAAAGGGTTGTAGCATTAGGAAGGTTGAGAATCACTGGTGTAGTTCTCCTAATAAGTTTTTGGGTAAAGGGAATAGGTTTGTGTTTATCTCTTTCATTTTGTTACCAAACCATTTAGTGGAGGCTTGGGTCTGTCTCAGAGTGTGAACTGGGTTAAGTTTCTTCCCTGCAGAGATATCCATTATTAGTCACACAGTATAAGACATGGATCAAACTCTTTATTCTTTTACTTTCTAGGTTTATGACTTGAGAAAACCTGCTTATATATTTATGAGTCAGGCTTTTCATTTCAATAAGAATGAGGATAGGCAACATGTCTAACTGAATTCCTGCCTATGCTCATGCAGAAAATGAATTCAGGCTTAAGAAAAACTCTAAGCGACAGGATCCATGCTGTCAGTGCTGGACTGGCACTTATGACATCCCATGAGAGCAGAGGGTATTTACTTTGCCCAGACTCTACACCTACTGACATTGTGGGAAACAGTATGAGGGCAATTTGTAAACCCTGCCTAAACCTGAAATATTCATTTCATCAAGAAATGTTAGTGGGATATACATAGTAATTACTTCATTTTTTTTAAAAGATGGGAATATGCATATAGTACATGACCCCCTTCTCTTCCTCCTACCCAACATTTTCCTCATTTAATATGGTAAGGAATGACTCCATCCCTGGCACTTGGGATCATATAAATAGGTGTGGTGAATGTGGAAGTGATTTCTTCTGGGACGCAGGCAGGGAAAAGTCCCCACTGGAAACTCCTGGGTGATTTTATGGGAAACTTTCTCTGCTTCCTGCCCAAGGCTTATTTCAGGATAAACCTTTAGACCACTGTTGCCAATATACACAATCAAGACACATTGTTCCACAGTTTCCTACAGTGTCAGTGTCTCCGGTGCTGAGCTAGACAGGAAGTTCCTCCTTTATCTCAGACTTGGTTGCAATGCCAAATACTCAGTTAGGAACTGAGAGGTGCTTGATGTGGGCAGAAATTCCAGGCTTGATCAGCTCGAGAGACTTCTGAGGAGTTTCTAGAATCCTGACTATCGCTGTTAACTCTTGCCTCCCTATATCCCCAGTTAAGCCTGGGATGGCCATGGGTGGAGCAGAGAGATGGAAGTCCATGCTGCTTCTCACTGGGTGCTGGACTGGGCCAGGCTGCTGGCAAGCCTTTGAGATTCTGTTTTTCCTGTATGGGAAGGGACTGGACAAGGTGGTCTTAGAGTCTCCCTATTCTCAGACACTGCCACTCATTTACACGTGTGACTCTCTAGGCTCAGGGGTTCAGCAGTCATTTCCCGCTCAGTGCCGGGGTAGATTTCCTTTCATGCCCCATCACTGGGCACCCGGATCTGTCACCATTTTGGTGTGCTGATTCTCATATATAAATTCCCAGCTAATTTCAGATCTGTGCCTGCCATTTCTATTTTATTTCTTTCGCCTTCATGGCCATTTGCATTCTATTACAGAAGTAACTTAGAAAATTACATTACTATTCTAATAGTTAGTGGTCCCCAGATTATACCCTTTCTTAAAGTGTCTTTTTAAAAATATATGTAAAATATTTTGATCTATGTCAAAGAGTGAGTATGTTATACAGGTTAGTTGAGAAATTTCCTTTCTCGATTTACCTGTTTGTCCTTTTTGGTCACTTCTGAGCTGTACTAAATTAATCCAGAACAGAGCATAAAGCAACATTTTTTCTCCCTCAAAACAGATAATCACAAATCCTTATGAGTTTCTGCTACTTAGGGGATGGGAAAACAAATGAACATCTCCTGGCTTGTGACCTTGAAAGATAAATTCCTGGAATGCCTCCAGTATAAAGATTCGGCAAAAGAAGTATCAGGAAAGACTGTTTAGGAAGTAAGTTCTTAGAAGAAAGGTGAATGCCTCCTCATTCAACGGAAATGAAGCACAGAGGGGCACCTCCAAAAACCCAGAGATGCAGCATCCTGCTGTGGCAGGCACAAGCCCCCAAGGCAGCCTAGGTCTATGGATGACTTTAAAGTTTGTCTCCTGTCGTAAATCACTTGCCCAGGTCTGGACTGTTTCTTAGCAAGTCCTTGTCCCCATATGGTGCTTCAGTTGTTACAGTATTTCCTATTAAAGCCATAGTCGACTGATGCTCCAGAATGGTTATCAAGGTCATCTGCATATACCATTTGTAACATCCATATTCTTCCATTTTCAAACTGAAAAGGCATAGGTATATGGTCAGTCTTGTTGTTCCTCAGTACAGCACAGACAGTGGGCAAAAACCTCTCTGCAACACTGTGGGGTCGGGTGAAAAGAATCTGAAATTACAGAAAATTCAGATGCAAAAATTCTTAACAAAATTTCAAAATGGTTGTGTCCTCATAGATATAACTCAGCACTTGTAACAAAAACATATTTCAAAACTGAAAGAACAGAGCTCATCCACCTGCACTAGAATACGTTAAGGCCAAAAACTTTTTTTCCACATATGCCAGCTGTTCTAGAAATGGAATTCTAAAATACAGCTGCAGATTGGTGACCCCAGGAGACAAACTCCAGGGAAGAGGCTTGAATGTAGCACCCCACCTCTGCTGGGGCGAAAGAAGCAGGGGTGAAAGAGAAAAGCTGAAGTGTGAAATGGTCACAGCAGAAGCTCTAAACCACCCCACAGATGGCAGCTCTTCATAATCATCATAGAGAGGAGACATTATGGAACAGGCAAACCACTAGAAGCAGCCCATCCCCCAAACATGATAAAAAAAAAAACCCCAGAGATGCAGACCCTTAGCAAGGACACTTCCTGAAGGGGACTCACTGAGAGCCTCACTCCAGGATTCTAGGTAACCCAGAGAGTTCATATGTGAATCCATCTGAGGATGACATCAGCCTTTGACAAATGCATCTTTAGACATGTGATGCTGATCTACTGCCCATCCCATCTTTACTTTATATTTTTACTTAAACAGAATCGCTAAGCCATTTTTTTTAAATTGTCTTTTAATCAACTCTGCCAAAAGGAAGCACCCTCACCGTTTCTGGAAATCTGGACATGTAGTAAAGACATAGCACTTCATGTTCATTCCCTGTGTAGATTTCATATTCTCGTCTTTTCTTTTTCCAAAACGACACGTGCTATCCTAAATCAAATCACAGATTGTTCACTTTCATGGTTGTGCTCCACAACTGCCAAACAGTGGATCTGATGTTCTTTTCACAGTGATGTCTACCCTTCCATACCCATTTTCTTTATTCTAGAATTGAAAGGGTAGTAGACAAAGCTCACCTTGTCAGTATGGTCTTATTCTGGATGTGAGTTTTATGAAGTGTGCATAATAGGACTGTGGATAGCTCACACCTGTACTTTCTATAGCTGGTGCTGGTTTACTTTCTTACCACTGTGCTGCCCTGCACTTCAAAGACATACTTTAAGTGTCTTGAAAAATCCTCCAAGTCATCACAAAGTATTAATGCAATATTCATAAAACAGAATATAAGATATAAGATATGTCTTTATACTGACTGCACCAGCTGCCTTAGCAACAACACACGTGTCTTTCTACACCTGTTTCCATAATTGATATATATCAGATTTAGAAACTTGATGAATTCGTGTTTTAACAAAGTTGAATTGATACAGTCTTTTATGTCTACCAATGAGGATCTAGTCTGAGAAATAATTTGTAAGCAGTTTTGTCATTGTGACAATATCGCAGAGTATAACTACATACCACACAAAGTACCAGCTCAGGCTACACAACAAGCTTTTTGGCTTCTGCCTTTAAATATGAAGTCTATCATTGGCTTGAAGGTGGCTGTGGGATACATGACTGCAACTCACAATATTTTCGTGGAGAGTGCAGCCATATGCATATATGAACAGGCCTATAGACAAAGCAGTTTGCCTCTGGCTTTGAACAAGGTCTAGGTTTAAAGGGGTTTGGCAGGGGAGTGAAAAGGTATTAGTCAACCATGACACACATAGCTGGGCCAAAGCTTTCAATTAAAAGCCTATCAAGCCTCTGGATAGAAGTAACCCAGGCTTATAATTTTTCTTTCTACTTACACTAAATATATAAAAATCATCATCTCATTCCTCTAGAGGAGAGCACAGAGAATTCTGAGAGCATAGAAGGAAGCCTCTAGATCATTAACCATTAGTACATTCTGGTCTTCTTGATACCATAAGT